AGTTTAAGTTTTATTGTTGATTTCATTGAGGGGTTATTACTGGTGCTTTGTTGCTTATTGTATGTTTTATTACTGAGATGTAAGGTGACTTTGAGTATTCTATTATAAAACGGCATTAAATAAAATGTATTTTTATTCATTATTACTATGGGGGCTGTGTGCATATGAAGTTGGTATAGATGTATATGAATTTATAGAGCATTTCATTGGCATTGCATTGCTAGGCAACAGCTTAATGCCGCTCCTGCGAGGAAATTGACATTAACGTTTACATCTCGCCCTGTCACGAGCCTCTTGTTTATAAGTAGATGCACACTTCCTTCTGCACGATGATTAGGTTGGTGGGTGTGGGTTAGTAGAAAGAAAATAGATCCTATATGAAACTGCTCACAACAAGGTTTGTGGATTATCTTGAGTAACTGAGTCATGATTTCCGAAAAGACAAATAAACAGCACTGTAGGTAAAAGAAAAAGATATGTTTTTTAATTTTGGATGACCTTTGCTCTGTTGCTCATTGTAAGTTTTATTGTTGATTTCATTAATCTTTTATTGCTGGTGCTTTGTTGCTTATTATATGTTTTATTACTGATCTTAAGTGACCTTGAGTACCATGAAAGGCGTCATTAAATAAAGTGTATTATTATTATTTATTGTTATTATAATGGTCGCTGTGTGCATCTGAGGTCGTAAGAGTCGTACATGAATTTATAATAAAATATCCTGTGGGCACAAGATAAAAAAAAATCACCTTCCAGGACTGTAGGGACTCCATACTAATCGTTAATGAGCAGCGTGAACATATTTAGTACGGCAATATATATAGCTGATAGACACCATTACAGCAAAAACAAAAGCAGATGTCACACACACAGTGTTATGTAACAATAGCTAGCTGCAACTAAAGCAAACCTCTTTGACTTTATGGGACATCTGCACTGGGATTATGTTTGAAAGGTGCGGTTTTATTGTTGATATGAAAAATTTCAGTTAATTTATAGTCTCCAGACTGTTTCAATCTCGTAATAATAACTTCTAACACAAGGAAAAAATAAGTAAATAAAATACAGAATATAAAAGATATTTAAAAAGACAGTAACAAGGCACTGCTGCAGAGATGTACTGACAGTAGGGGTTTGGTGTTCCCTCATGAATCACCACCATGACAAGTACATCCCTGGACCACTGTCACCGAGTCCATTACTCACCCACACACTCTCTTTCTTCCTCTTTCTCTCGTCCTCCTCCTCATGGTTGTCAGGCCGAGTTGTCTTCCACATCCCCGACTGGCTTCACCACCTGCTAATGGGTGGCAGGATCCTGTTCAAGAACACGTTGGAAGCCTACACAGATTACTACCTGCGATGCAAACTGAACCAGGTGGTCCAGGAGCACCGACTTGTCTCGCTCATCACCCTGCTCAGAGGTATGTAGGGGAAATAAAGGAGACTCCCAGAACGTGGAGCTATTCCTTTAAACGTTTTAATTTAATGAGGTGAAATGATCTTTGCCCTTCTAGACACAGTTTTCTGTGAGAGCAGCATGCCCCGTTCGGCTCAAGACAAGCAGAGGAGGGCGAAGAAGACGTTTGAGGAGATGATGGCCTACATTCCAGGTATTCATTCGGTTCTTTTAGTTGGTGTTTAGTAATTTGTAGATCAACGGACTGCTGACATTTCATGAGCTGCCTTTCCTTAGATTTTCTAGGGAAATGTATCGGAGAAGAAGCCAAATATGAGGGCGTACGTCTCCTCTTTGATGGACTGCAACAGCCAGTGCTCAACAAACAGGTCCCCACATGCACACACACACACACACACACACACACACACACGCAATGTCGAACACATTCACTGCTGGAAAACGTACTCTATCTTTTTGAGCAGGATTACAGAAAAACTACTGGCTCAATTTAATTTTGGAGTAGATCCGAACCACAGGGCGAAAACACAAATTATTTTTCATTTTTGTTAACTTTGCAGGATAGGGCATTTGGCTTTTGGCTTTGGCAATATAAATGCCATACATCTTAAAATCCAGTCAATAGAACTCAAGTTCACTGATAACAGAACAGCTAATTGGAGAAATATGATGACTCCATATCCACTCCTTTGGTTTGACATTATGGTAATTGTTTTAGAAGAATAACCAGACATAGTGGTTGTGCTTGGAGATTTGCATTCCCTAGAAGACTGGAGTCTTGACGAAATGTGTTTGCTGTTTGAATTTAAAGATCGCTGCTATTAAAACGTTTCCTCCTCTCTCTGCTTTTTGCTTTCCTCAGCTGACGTATGTGCTGCTGGACATCGCCATTCAAGAGCTTTTCCCTGAGCTAAACAAGGTAAACAGATGCTTGGTTTTGGGACTCTGGATAAATTTGGACACATTTTTAAAATGTATTATCTGTGTCATATGTGTAAAGGTCATTATTACACCTGGTATGAATGAACAAGTGAAACCTATGACCGTATAATAATAATAATAATAGTAATATCCATTTCACTTATAGGTGTCTTTCCCAGCACTCAAGGACACCTTACAAGACACAGTTAAAAAACAAGCAGCAATTTATCCATAGATCATAAAATCACAAAATTCAGTAATATACAATAAAAGTTATTTGACTAGAGAAAAAAATCGTATTTATAAATATTAGGTATAAAATCATCATCAGTGCAAGTCACCATATGTGTGCCACGATTAAATCAGACTGAATATGGCAGCTCCGAAGGCGTGTTTTCAGACAGGTATGATCATGTCTGATGAATGATAGATAAGTAAATGTAGATAGTGTTGGTGCTGTATCATGCTTAACTCTTTATAACTCCATTTTAGTGAATGGCACTCACTGCATTTAATTGCTGCTACTGGACTCTTTAAAGTGTGCCCATGATTATCTTTTACAAGGTGTTATGTTGTAATCATCATGTAATCTCAATTTAACATTTCAGGGTTTTGTAAGTGGAAAGCCATCTGTAGTTCTTAGACAATTACAGAGCCAAGATTGGCTGTAGTGATATCATCTTTTAAAGTAAGTTTTCTGCATATTTTTGCCAGAATAGTTAAATGGATTTTTTTAACCAGACACATGATAAATTATATGTTTAAGGTGTCTTACTGTTGTATAAATGAGGAAGAAATGACAAGCTCATAGGAAACTTTAAGAGTTTTTAATTCCATAGACTGAAATTTGATCTTTAATATTTGATTTTCTCTGTGCTTTTGTGATACTTCAGGGATAAAATGCAGTTTTTGAGGGCTATCAGTAAGATAGTTAAGTGTATGTATGTTGTTTGGATGTATTTGGGCTATAATCTGTACATGTAAGAGATGATTATATACAGTATATAACGAAACACTGATTTAATAACAAAGACGATCCGTGTAAGTGCTCATGCTGTGTTTTTGTTTCCTCAGCAGGTACAGAAGGAAACCTCTGTGATGGCGCCGTGGATGTAAAATGAACACTTTAATGGACATGAACTGACATGCTTTCTCAGCATGAAGTCAAGACACCTGCACAGACTGTTGCCAGCTTGGTGTGCAAGCAGACGTCAGGATCACATGTACAGTATCTGACCTGGATACATGCCACAGCAACAAGAGGAAACACAAAGCTTCTCCTGCTGTGTGTGTCGTCTGCTCTGCAGAATAAATTATATAAATAAATGACACTGGTCCTTTTGTAATAAGTCTTAACTATAAAAGCCAGCATCGTGCATCTGTTCGACAGCTGCAGTCGATTGTAGTAAAACTTAAGAATCACTTGTTTCTACTTTTTCACACATTGATACAGTTGAGCTCACTGTGGTGCTGCAACAGATGTGAACTGCTATAAACATATCGCCTCACATTAACACCTCTGGCTTGAAAAGTGGCCCCTGTGGAGCTGGTTTTATAGAATCAAAATGGGAAACTACGATTTTGACTGCAGCCAAAAGTCCAGTGAAAATATTTGATTGTTAATGATTTTAAGTTTTGAAAAGAAGAATGTGGACCTCCAAATCAAACTGCTCTCATGATGTAAAGCAATCAGTTTTCATTGGTATTTTAAATTTGAAAGCTAAAGTATGCCCCTTTCTCCCAGCAGCTGTTGGTGTGCTGGTGCCGGTGTGTAGCTACGTGTTGCTGAGCTATCCAAGCAGTAGTAAAGGGACCATTTTTTTTATCTAAGTGTCAGCACATAAACTTTACATAAAGTCTGGTATCTTGAGTAAGTTTTCTAAAAAAAACAGGGACTTTTTTGTAAATTGTAATTTCAAACATTCAAAAAACTAATATTATTTTAAACCAATAATTTAAAAACATGGCTATTTTTCAACTAATAATCTGTTACAACTGGTATTATCATGCGTCTTAGGTGATCCGATCACAAGATGACAGCTATATGTCTGTTCATTCACACCACATGCGTCTCGAGTGACCACTTGTGATCAGATCTCAGTTCCGCGCTCTATATGCAAATAAACACATGAATCATTTCCGTTTGCAAACACCAAATGTGTTGCTGTTTTTAGGACTGAGACGAGCAGTCATCATCTGTACTTGTGATAAAGGAACATCCTCATCTGGGGAGCTATGTTTCATCTATTACTCGTGAAAAAAAACAATCTGAAGCTCAATTCTGAGGCTGTTCTGTAAATCCTTTTCTCATGTCTTAAATATTGCATCTTCTGATTAATCCATATACATTTCAGGCTTAAAATAACAACCTCTGATTAGGTCCAGCCCACTTTAGATGCAGGACCATTTACCATTTATCTAATTGCAGGGCTGCAGGCAGCATATCAACAGCCCCTTCTTCCTTCTTGTGGCCCAGGACACATAGCGTTCACACTACTGAAAAAAATGTTGCCACAAACCACCCAAGACCACTTCTGAGTCCACTTATGACCCGATCACCCGGGACACATGTACATACCAGGTGTAAATGGCCTAAGATTAAATGAGTAATGGAGAGAAAACTTTTACAACTGTACATAAAATTCGAGACTCGTTTGTATTTATTACTGTCAGGATGCACTTTATTTCTTCACATATAAAAACAGAATATATTTCCACTTTCATTTTTTTCTAACAAGTTGACAAAAGTGCTTCATAAAGGTGACTTTGGAGTAAACAAAATATGCAATCAGATGTTATAAGAAAAACAAAAGTATTCAACAGATTTTAAACAACAATATTTGATTCTATCAGGTCTCTGCGTTATTTCTGTATAGATTAACCTGTCGACTAGTGAAGATGGGGAGAGGCTCATGCACGGTCATGAGAACAAACAAAAACTCTTATTTACAGATCATATGTATCTGCTGTCACAATAAATTTGCTTCTTTAACTTAAACATACTCAAACAGCAATAATTCTTTACAAAAAAGAGATTTGATGAGCAATCACGCTGCTCATTTTTAAATCTTAATAGGTGGTGTCAAATGAAAGTCAAAAAATACCTAGGCACATTCAGGTGCATAAATACTTTGGCTTGTTTCCATGTGTTCCTATTAAATGAGCGAGGGCGTGATATCGCCGCCAGGCAGCTTTCTATCTGTTCATTATCTCACTGCCTTGCAGTCTTTGGGCTTAGACATTCATAACACTTCAGTTCTTTCAGATACACATGAAAAAATACATTCACGTTACAGTCAACAATGTTAGTAATATCCAATACATATTTACCACTTTCATACTGAAGTTAATCCTTTGACACGTGTGACAGATGTTCTTAAAGAACTCCCCTTGTCCTTATAATCAGCTGTTTAAATCACTGACTGAATCTACTCTCAGACTGAACCTGCAATCCTGTTGTCTTCTAGTTATCCTTGGAGGCAGTGAGACGGAAAGGCCGTTAACTAAGTCCCAGAGGAATTCACAGGCAGCCCAAAATGCCCTTCAGTCTGTCACAGTTTCTCAAAGTGTACAAAGCCAATCAGAGGGTCAGGGACAGCCATAAACCCATCAGCATCAAACCGAGGCTGTGGGCTGTGAAGACAGCCGAGTTCCTGAACGTGATCCGGCCTTCCACTGTGGGGTAAACACGCTTCATGTCTGAGATGTATTTGGAGAAGACAGCAATGTCCATGTCACCTGCAAGAGGCGGGAAAATGACAGCTTGGTTAGTGTTTGATTGGTATTTTATATTTTCCCTATAAAACTGTATCTCCTTGCTGCCCATGCTTAAAACCACCTGTTCTGTGTTTTTACAGTGTTGTAAGATCTGTGGGAGACAGCTGCACAGCAGTTTTAAAAATATGCATTTGCTTTGGATAAGTTCACCAAGAGGGGAACCTTTTAAAATGAGGCATGTGATCACTAATGAACAAACTTCACCCTGCAGAGTCGTGCTTATGGGACAGCTGCAGTCATTATTTCTTTGCATTAATTTCAAGAGTGCTTTGAGCTAATGCTAACATGCTACAATGATATGCTAATGTTAAGCAGGTGCGTACCATGCTCACTTGGTGTTTCTCAAAGTCAAGATCCTTCCTTGGTAGGACGAGTGAGCTTCCTAGCATTCAGTGAACACACATTGGCACAAGCTAACGAGTGTCCCCAGGTGTGCATCATTAACCCTCAGCAGACTGAGGGAGTTTCAGGGTACTGTGATGATTTTGGCACTCTCTGATGTTGTTGTACAATTCGAACAAATATAAGCAGTATTTTCAGAGTCACGTGACTTCTAGGGAGAATATATCGCTGGATTATACTTAAAAAACCAAACAGGAAGGCTAAATGAAACTTTTGTGGCACTTAGCTCTCCATCACTGCTGTAGATGATTCATTTAAAAACTTTTATGTTTTATCTAAATCACAGTATTTCAAAAATCTCATTATTTGGCAGTGGACACATTGGAAAGCGTAAATTATGAGGTTTCTGTCCATATATTTTTATGCTTGTGTGACAAAAACTGGAGATATTAATCCAAATAAATTACATTTATCTAAATCATTGAAAAGGCCCCGTCTTCACTTCCAGCAAATCATGCGCAAAGAATTGTGGGTACTTTATACCCGCTGAGGATACACACATGCATCCTTGAAATTCCTCTGAAAGAAGGACTCGGTCCTCGTAGAATTTGAAGGATTCTTGACATTGGAACAGTCCTGACGCGGGATTTGGTGATGTAGCATCCTTGAAATTCAGCCATTTAGGGATTCTTCCTTGACTTTGAGAAACACCCACTGTCTTTGATTAGCTTGTTAGCATGCTAATGTTTGCTAAATAGATTTAAACCCCAAATACAGCTAAGGCTAATGGTGACGTCATTTTGCAAGTATTTACTCATAAAGCAAATTAAAAAATTGGGAAAAACGTTCAACAGTTTAGACATTTCTGTCAGGAGCAAATTGGTAGGTCGCCTGACCCACCAACCATCAAGTCGTCATCACAATCTGTTGAGCCACGTAAAATTAATAAATAATTAATTGAGCCATAGGTTGGAGCTTAAACTGCTTGGGTGCAACATGTTTCAAGCTTGGCGCTTCTCCTAAAGCAACATCCTGCCTTTCATAAATTTTCATGCATCATGCAGCTTCCCGTCTTTCTTCTGTTTGCTCTCGCTAATCTGTTTTTGAAACCTGACTTTTCTACTGTTTTGCGTATGGACATTTGAATGTGACATCAAGTGCCAAGTTTGAGAAATCTGAGGCTGAGAAGCGGCTTATTGCAGCAAAACAATTAAAGATTAGAGATTAAACAGAGCTGGCAGGGTTCATTTAATGCTGCTGGAGTTTTCCACATGTTCTCCAGATGTTTCACAGGCAACTGAAAGTAGGAAGAATTCATTGTAGACTCACATCTGGCACTTATGCTGCCTCTAAAACTTGTACATCATATATGATACACTGATGTTTGAACTTGGTGTCATGCTTCAAATATGCTTCAAGGGAGTCCATTCAGAGACATTCAAAAGTTGCCAGTGAGCACCACCCTACATGTTACTCCATTATATAGAAACATTAAAGGACAGGGCTTACTTAGGGTGCAGTCCAACAGGAAGGAAACGTAGGGGAAGAAAGACTTTAAGACATCAGAGACCTGGACTGAGCTTTTGTGCACTCAGCCAACTCTAAGAGAATTATTTTAATCAGAAACAGTGGTTGGTAAATGCCACCTTTTATAGATTTTACTTGTATTAAATGATGAAACTAACTGACAAATGCACCATGCTCATCTTATCTCCTACACAGTTATTGAGTTACACTGCTGCCCACCTGTGTTATGCTTCAGTAACTCATCCTTGATCATGTTAAAGCCATCACCTCCACCCACCATGTACGAAGGCATGGCCACAGTGTACAGCTTCTCCAGATCTAATGGTTCATACTTGGGCACACGGCACTCAGTGCAGCGCATCGAAATGGACACTGCACGCTGGTTCACTGGTTTGGAGAGGTCGTACTGAACGTGAATACCTGGAAATGTCAGAGAGAAAATGAGGAAATATTATGTTTGCTTAAAGGAGTACTACACCTTCCAAATTACCTTTTGTATATGGTTCAACCTGTGTGACGTTAAATTTGTGAAAAAAGCATCGATGCCTCTGGTGAACAAAGAATCCAAAAAACAGAAAATTCTCTATGAATTAAAGTCATAGGGGTCCGCTTTTAACAACAGCAAACTATATCAAAACATCCATGTACAAACTCTTAAACAACTCGTACAGTATAATCCAAGTCTCATTTATCCACAGTACTTCCCAAACAGACAGCCCCTTTCCAACATCAAACTGAACTAAGATTAAAACTTATCCTCTCTTCAGGATTGCAGCCTGTCCTACTGATGCCAGTAATTTTCTGTTAAAACGTCGTTGTGTCGAAGTTTGTTTTACCAGTCAGTCATGTAATGACTTGTGAGTTTATTGTATAACATTAGGCATTAAGCCATTACGGCACAAGTCAGAGCTTGTAGCAGCCCGGCTCACCAACATTATTATTTATCTCTTCAGGGACCGACGACTATATATTAAACTGACAGTTTATTACATGGCAAAGAAAAACTAACTTCAACATGTCACTACAAGTTAAACGTGTACAACAGGTTGTAATCAAGCTGCTCTCTCTTCTCTCGTCCATCCGTTCCTTTGGCGCAATGCATGATGGGATATATTGCTCGGTGAGTGACCATCGGTTGTACACTACTTTTCACGGTGCACTGTGGGATACTTTGAGTCCACTATATGGGGCATAATAATTCCCACTAAACATTCGGACATCATTACAAAATGGTGACCTCACTATATAGTGGACTATAGAGTGAGTAGTGAGTGATTTCAGACACAGCCCAGGACTTAAATACAAACTAGTCTGACGAGGGGATGAAGTGCAGCTGGAGGTAAAAGGGCAGTGAAGCTCAGGTGAGGAGAATAAAGTGATGAGGCAGAATAACAGGCAGAGAGCTGATAGACTGGGAAAACCTCAGGAGCAAGGAAGGACCAATGAGGCTGATGCAGGGCAGGTGTGTTGCTGTGTAAATGAGGGAAAGGCACTAACTGGGGGAGTAAGAACAGGTGAGTGGAACTAACACTTAGGGGGTGAATCTACAAAATAAAACAGGAAACAGCTTAAACATGAATGAACATGAAACAAGGGGAAAAAAAACGCAACAAATAAAATCCATGAGATAAGACTACAAACGAAAAAACCTTGGATCGTGACAGGGAGCTGCTGGTCTACCAATGCCTCGATCAGTTTGTGTTATTGTGTGACGTTCCTCAAAACGGTAATTTCAGATTCAGCATGTAGAAGCAGATAATGTATCATTTTATACCAAAGGTGAAAATAAGGTCAGTTACACAAGGTTTTGGAAGCAGTTGATCAAATGTCAGATTTGGTAATAAAAAGGACTCTTTAGAGGTGTTTTGGTAAGTTGAGTAGTTTTTGCATAGTCAAGCTCTGGGAAATCAAATGGAGTAGATCATTTTGGGGTCAGAGTGACCTGTCCGTGGGAACAGATAGGCTAGGTTTCGCAGTAGGAAAGAATCCTTATAAGAAGTTGTTTTTGAGTTAAGTGACATTCGGAATGCTAAGGAAACTCCGATAAAGGAGTTGTTTTGATAAATCGAGGTTCGTGCGCAGTTCCAATTCTCGGAAATCTAACAGAACAGAAAACACTTAGGGTTCCCGAGAAATCAAACCTATAGGGACAAGTAGATCATAAGACCAGACCTGTCCACACACACACACACACACGCACGCACACAAACGAACAGACACCCACGCACTCAATAGTATAAAGGCTTTTGGAAGTTGGATAAGCGGGGCTGTTTTGGCTGTTCTGTCATACTGTTTGTGATCTACAACTTGTTCTATTGAGCTGTATTTTGCAAATAAAGTAATCCCATTGGCTGTAACTTTTCTCCGTGGTTCTCCGAGTCTGGCTTTGAAGAGACTATAGATAAGTTTTACTTTTAGTTCAGTTCAGTTTTTTGCTGTTGTCGAATGTGGTACCCTATCACTTTAATTCATCAAAAATTTTCTTTGTTTTTGGATTCTTCGTTCACTGGAGGCATGCAAGAAAAACTAAGTTTACTTCACAAATTCAACACAACACCAGGTGAGTAATTGGTGTACAAATAATCATTTGGGGGTGAAGTATTCCTTTGAAGGAATAGTGTGATATTTTGGTAAAGACACAAGAGTGGTATCGATCCTTTCATCCAACTCTCGGCAAGAAAGCATGTACGCATATTTACCAACATGTTAAAGTATTCCTTCAATACAAAACCTGACCAGTTACTATGATTCCAAGAGATGAAACAGGTGTTGATGGAGGAGCACAGAGGCCAGAAAACTGACCTGAGACTTGTAGAAACTCTCCAGACATGCTCCCATATCTGTGAACGGAATGTTCAAATGCCTTTTTCACTGTCGATCCCTTTATCTGGACCAAGTCATAGGTCTCTCCGAACGGTAAGACGGTGAGGATCTCCTCCATAGTTATGGTACCTTAAAGTAAGGGCAAATATTAGTACATTTTAAAAAAGAAACAACTGCAGCCAGTGCAAAGTGGCCTCTGTAATGAAGCATTCAGATAAGTACCATTCCTGTAGCGCTCGCTTATAGCTGACCGTATGGTCCCACTGTTCAGCATACATATCCCCACGTGATTCCACTGCGGCTCACTTGAATACTTGATGTTGTGATAGATCTGGCAACACAAAAGGGACAGAACATGTCACACAGCAGTCAGACTCTACCTCTACCTCTTAACAATCCCGTGGTTGAGAAGATTGCCCTTGTCATTGTGTCTTGAGACTGGATAAGTGGTGTTTACTGTCAGTGCCCTATAAACCCCTGGAGCTCTTTTAATTCCATGACATCACATTCAATGCTTAACCTGCATGGGCATGATCTGAGGTTATAGACACAATGAAGCTGGAGATCAGTTTGTGGAAAATAAGGTTTAATGAGAATATTTTTCTGTTTTGTCTCAGTGGTTATAGCTATAGCTGGTAACATTTATGAAAACATAAATATTTCCTTAAACTGTCACTATATTTAGTAGAAGTACATGAGACAGATAGTGTGTGAACATAATCATGTCCCTCCTCCTCCTGTGCTCACTTATTAATCAAGACTGGGTGACACCCCCTGCCAGGCTTATAAAATCTTTGTTTGACTCCTGTCCACCTTTTTGCACCCTGACAAAGACCTTAGGGTCGAAACCGAAGTGCATCAGTTCCTGCTCCACGCATGAGTGCCTGAAGTTCACTTCTCCTTCCCATGTGCTGATCCTTTTCCTCAAACACACCTACTTTTTTCCGTGAGTATCATATGATAAAGACGGTCCTCGAGCACACTACTATCTCATTCTTCAAAGCTGTGAATCATGTCACTGCTTGGGAACTGTGGTCAAACTGTAAATCTAGTCAGCTCTGATGAGGTGTGATTCAAGATTCTGTCACTGCTTTGCCTGTTTGTCACCTCAGGTGTTTTCAGAAGCATATTTTATTGCAGTGGTTCCCAACTGGTGGCTCATGGTCCAAAAATGGGTTGCAGGTCCATTCTGAATGGACTGCAAGTGACTTGTGAATGTGTCAAGTTTGTAGAATACACACTAGGTCGCAGGTCAATGATCGACTTTGTAGTTGTATCATTTGACCTGCGGCCATATGTTCTGGACACTCGGGTGAAGAGAGGAGCAGAGCTGTCAACTGATCACCACCTGGTGGTGAGTTGGATCAGATGGTAGGGGAAGACGCCGCGCAGACCTGGCAGGCCCAAACGAACAGTGAGGGTCTGCTGGGAACGCCTGGCGGAAGAACCTGTCCAGATGATCTTCAACTCCCACCTCCGGGAGAGCTTCGACCGCGTCCCGAGGGCAGAGGGGGACATTGAGTCCGAATGGGCCTTGATCCGCTCTGCCATTGTAAAGGCGGCGGTTGAGAGCTGTGGCAGCAAGGCCGCTGGGGCCAGTCACGGCGGTAATCCCAGAACCCGCTGGTGGACACCAGAGGTGAGGGGAGCCATCAGGCTGAAGAAGGAGGCCTACAGGGCATGGTTGGTCTGTGGGTCTCTGGAAGCAGCTGACGGGTACCGGCAGGCCAAACGGAGCGCAGCAGTGGCAGTCGTGGAGGCAAAACTCGGGCGTGGGAGGAGTTCGGTGAGGCCATGGAGGAAGACTATCGATCAGCTCCAAAGAGGTTCTGGCAAACCATCCGGTGCCTCAGGGGGGGAAGGCGGCAACTTGGCGGCACTGTTTACAGTGGGGGCGGGTAGCTGCTGACGTCAAATGGGGACATTGTCGGGCGGTGGAAGGAATACTTTGAGGAGCTCCTCAATCCCACCAACACGTATTCCAGTGAGGAAACAGAGACGGGGGTCTCGGGGGCGGGTCATCCAATTTCTGGGGCAGAAGTTGCTGAGGTAGTATGAACTCCGAGGCGGCGGAGCCCCAGGCTCTGGATGTTGTAGGGCTGTCCTGGCTGACACGCCTCTGCAACATTGCGTGGACATCGGGGGCAGTGCCTCTGGAGTGGCAGGTCCCCATTTTCAAGAAAGGGGACCAGAGGGTGTGTTCCAACTACAGGGGAATCACACTCCTCAGCCTACCCAGTAAGGTCTACTCCAGGGTGCTGAAGAAGAGGGTCTGGTCGATAGTTGAACCTCAGATTGAGGAGGAGCAATGTGGTTTTCGTCCCGGACGCGGAACCGTGGACCAGCTCTTTACCCTCGCCAGGGTGCTGGAGGGGGCATGGGAGTTTGCCCAACCAGTCCACATGTGTTTTGTGGATTTGGAGAAGGCTTACGACCGTGTCCCCAGGGGCATCCTGTGGGGGGTGCTCTGGGAGTATGGGGTTGGTGGCCCCTTGCTAA